GAGCAGAATGAGATTCGAATCCTGCAGGAGAAGCTGGACAACACGGTGACACTTGTGACACAACTGTCTAGCCAGCTCTCGGAGCTCAAAGAACAGGTACAGTTCACCTCTGCTGCAGCAGCCTCTTCTTTCTCTGTGCACACAATATGCTTTTGCTATTATTAAGGCACAGAAAAGTGAATTTAAAAATTCATGCTTCTCTTGAAATCCATGCACATAGCAGCTTCAAAATATTAATTCTGTCCCTTAATTCCTCACCTTATACTGGTGCTTTTATGGGATTTATCCCCTTTTAAATATGTGCAAAGTTCTTACAGTGTTATGTCAGTGTTAGGAAAAACATACAAAGGTAATAATAATGCTGTATCATTTGGTAAATATTTATTGGATATTTTGCTCCTTTGCTCTGTGTAAGAGGAAACACTGTGCAGTCAGTGTTTTGTGTGTTAGCTCACAGCACAGTTATGATCAAAATACAGTGCTAGTCAGTTTAAAGATATAATGATACACAACCAGGATGCAGTCAAGTGAACAGCAAGACAGCAGAAGCATTTCCTTTACTGCTAATTTCACAAAGCCAGCAAAACAAGGAAAGGTTTATTTCATCTAAACCTGGGTGAAATCTGTCGGGTGGAAATATTGGTTGTATGGATTTTTTTCAGTATTCCTCTCTCTAAATTCCTTGAAATGGTCCATGCTTCTAGCTCTCTAAAGTAGGTGTTATTTGTAAACATGAAATACTTTTTTTAAACAGCTGGCATTTCAAAGGTTTTTAAGCTGCTCAGACAGCTGTGGTTGTATGTCATTCCCATGTTTTTTCAACTAAGCACAGGCTCGTTCGTGTCAATAAAAGCACTATACATAACCCAAAGCTGGATGGTATTTTAAGCAACACCGAGAAAGACCCGAGGTTAATTCATTGATTGACTAATTAACCTAATTGATCCCTTTTCATTTTAAGAGCAAAACTGACAGAAAACATCAATGATAGTTGTAAAGAATACAGAAGTTTTTAGTGCTCTGTTGATTTTCAGCATTCTGCCTATGAGAAAACGTAATCGTCTTTTTCTTTGCAGCTAGAGTGTCACTGTCTTAACTAGATGGCTAGAAATCCTTACTGTTTCTGTACCATTTTGATCATGTAGTGTTGCTGGTCCACCTGTAAATGTTTGATGCTTCAGTTAAATTACATTTTAAATAGCGGTTTGTTGAAGTGATAAAACAAACTGGAGCTGAATGCACAGTGCAGCACAGGCTGATATTTGCACTGGTCATTTAGCAGTTTCCCCTATTCCTAAAGCAGACACCAGCGCAGCCACAGTCGGTCACAGTAGTCACTGAGATAGGCAGTGGAGCACCAGTGCCATAGAAAGGTGTCTGTCTCAATGAACCATTGAAAAGCAGGTTTGAAGAAAAGTAATACAAACACTGCAGTATAATCATAGCAAACATTTTGCATTAATTCTAGATTTTGAGAGAAGTAAATACAAAGTTAATACAGTAGCCTTGGATTTCACCCTCCTCAGTGCGGGTTGTAAAAGCATAAAAGCTTTTTTATTTCACCCCTTACTGGCTGAATCTGTATCTGGAAAGTATGAGGAAGGAGGGAAACAAAGTGTAGGTGTAATTAAGTAGTTCAGGTGGGGAGCTGCGTCTGCATGCATAGACTGCAAAGGAACAATGGGTTTATTCCGTGCTGAAAAGAGAAGAAAGTAAACGCAACGTTTCGGCCTTCTTCAGGTGTGAACGAGGAAGGCTCACACACAAAGAAGGCCCCATAGCCAAAACTTTACGTTTCCTTTCATCTCTTTTCAGCATGGATGTAATTAAGTGCCTGTTAGCTACCATTTCATTTAAATACTTTTAATGTGGATGGGCCATAAACTCATGCAAGTGCCTGAAAAACAGCTCAGTGTACCGGTAAGCAGGAAAGGAAGAGGTACAGTACATGAAGGCCTTGAGCATTGTTCAGTGTACAGGATCTCATCCAGTGTCCTCTCCCGGCTCTCTTTGCAGATGACAGAGCAGAGGAAGAACAAGCAGAGGCTGGGCTTTCTGGGCTCCAGTTCCCCCCAGGCGAACCATCAGATGCCAGCGCATTAACCCCCCGGAGTGCGAGACCACCCTCCCCTGCCCCCACCCCCCTCAAGCAACACGCACCAAACCTGGTTTTCCCCTCACACCATGATGAGTAACTGGGTGCCGATGTTGAGCTCGTTCTGTTACATGCTGCTGCTGTATCTCGGGCAGTGGATACGAGCCCTTCAAGTCCTGGATCTTCGCTGGAACGTGCTGCAGGGATTACAGTACCATTGCAGTGGTACCTAAAGATTTCTTTTACATGTCGGGTCTTATTAATAAGATGCTATGGAATTGCACAGCCTGTTAGATTTTCACCTGCAGACAAAGACTGCGTTTGTAGTGAAAACCTCTCCTGCACTCCTGATAGTTTTAAAAGGTTTGGCAGGGAGTATTGTTACTGGTGGGCTTTATTTCTCTGTGCTGGAAGGCTTAGAACATTCTTTTAAAGCCTTGAAAACACTTGTTAAATGCTTTTTGCTTGTATGTTCAATTAAATTATATTTAAGGATATTGGAAACAAGATTCAGATTTTAAATCCTCGAATGACTGGACTGTGCACACGTACTGATGTATTGGATATCACCACGCTTCTAACTAACTGCCTGACAGAATAACCAGGTGTTTCCTCCTTTGGAACCATAAATTTGTCTTGATATTTTTTCAGAATACTGGGCACCAAGCATCAGCTCTGTATGGTGGATGTTTCAGAAAGAGAGAAACACTTTGAATCTTTTCTGTGAGATCCTCAGTTTGAATTTACAGAGCAGATTGGTATGTTTTGAAGATTCTCTACAGGAAACGCTACTGTATATGCAAGCATCTTTCACGTTAAGTTTATCAAGTTACTTAAACTGTTTACTTAGGGGAGTGTGTTCTGTGGAATCAATCCTGGGCCAAAACGAAGATATCCCTTTTGACTTGTCTTCTCGTAAGTCACAGTCTTTACCCTACACCCATTCTCCCGCTGTACTAGATAAAACTGTATTTGTTCCTCGCAGGGAAATGTAACAGATGTAACAGGCCTTTAATTCTTTATTTAGACTGATAGGTAAATTGAGGACAACTTTTCATTTACTGTGAAAACCCAGAGATCAATTTATACAGCACGGTATTTGGAGTATTCTGAATAAAATAAGGTTTTGAACCGACAACCTTCCAATCTGAAACCCTGAATTCTAAGCATCACTCTGTGCTGCTGCTTTGAAAAAAAGAGACCAACACCATATACCTTTATCCTTTAATTCAGATCATAAAAATGTTTCATTTGGATCATTGACAAGCGTTTGTACATTGATTTCACAACCTCTGCCTTCTTCAATCCAAAAAAACACTGAAATGCAGTTGCCTGTTGTAGTTCCAGTGGATTTTAGCATCACAAGGTGGAAATAATAGTTTTTCTGAATTCTGTGCCTTTTGTATAAAGATACTGTAAATAGTTTAAAAATAAAGCAAAAATGATTTTACGATGATCGGAAAAGGTAATGTTGGATGTTTTGTGGATTTTACTTGAAAAACAATTGATTGCAGGTATAAACATTAAATCTGTTGAAAACGGAACGAATATCATTGTGAAAATCGACACACCTACTGTTTTTTTTTTATTGAACACCAGGTTGATATTTTTATATGCGAAATATGTAATTTTGTTTTCAGAGTTGAATTGTTGGTTTTCTAGTGGATTTCTCTTTAGTGCAAAATATAATCTTTTATGCAAATTCTATCATTTGTCTTCATCTCAAAGCAAACAGTGTTAAAATAGTTTACAACATACTTAACATCCTTCTTACTTGCTGATATGTTTGTGCTTCAGAGGAAAGGAATGTCCCCTGTCTAATATTTAAATGAAATGAATAACTGTGCTGGAGGTTCATTTGCAACAGGGGCTGTCAGTGGTCACAGAAGTTGGCATTCGTCTGACACAGTAAAGGTATACTGCTCTTGCTGTGAGTCTTCTTTGTTTGGCAACAATGAGGAAAAAAAACAGTTAATAAATTCAAAGATGGTACAGAACAGTAATGTAAATCTAATGATAATGGTTGTTATCTGTGTGACAGCTTCATCCTGGACTTGGATTAAAAAAGGGAGAAAACTTTTTTTTATGTTGTTATTTGAGAAAATTCAAATCCATGTTTTTGAAATAACACTTAATCTGTGCAATCTACCTTTGGTTGAATTGTATAGGCAAATCAGTACTTCTTATACCTAACAGAACTACTGGACTTTGGCGTTTGTATCTGTTAAATAATTATATTGCCACATTTATGTTTAAAATTTTTTTTTCTGCTGCTGAATACAGAATCTTTGTCTTAATAAAGTATTGTTTTTATTTTAGATTGCTTACCTTGTGTGTTCTGTGTGGCATGTAAACATGGTGGTGTTTATTTGTATTTGTGTTTGTGTCGGTGTGCTTGGTCATAAAAAAACCTCAAGTCGCCACTTTGACTTTGACTTTTGAAAACATCTGCTGTCCGTGGAGCGGAATGAGTTGTGAAAAGGACTAAAAACAACTTGCAGGACCAGTGAGGCTTAATGGCCAGGCGCACAAGAAAGCTGTAGATGTAGATGTAACTCCTAGAAATCGTGTAACGATCTTGAAACTTTGTAGTTTAGAAAAGAGAAGACTAAATACAATGGAGAACCTGATCCAAGTATTCAGACTCCTCAAAGACACTGACAGTATGGAACAAGCAACCCATTGAAGTCTGACCTCTTGCATCTTTCAAAAAAAGGACAATGTTCTCAGACCAACTGGCCGCCATCTACTGTATTAGATGGGCCTAACGGCCTTTTGTTTGTGACTTTTGTTATGAAATACCTTGAAATCAAACTGGCTTAGCTTATGGATTTTCATTAGGATGGCTCATTCAAGCAATAATATAATTCTAAATACTTGTTTTCAGGGTTCTCCTCTTTAAACTTTAGGTAATTGTGTTGGAGTCGGAGAAAGATTGAAAGTGTTATGCTGCCTTTTCCAGAACTGCAAGAGAAAGAGGAAATGTTTCTTGGGCATATCAGCCAGGCCAATGACTTACTGTATGAACTCATTTTTGTATCTTAATATCGCAGTCCTGAAGCTTGGTCAACAGCATCTCTAAAAATATTAAGCTGCTTCTTTTAAAGGCTACAAAATGAAGCTTTTCATGGAAAGCAGAATACAATTAATCATTTTTGAATTCATAGGCAAAAAGTCATTGAAACAAATTGAAAGATGACAACCTTCACAATGCATTATCAAAACTAAAAAAAAGATTAATTCTCATCCTAATTAGGACTCCATGAATCAAAAACATAAGGTACACTTGTGCTTTTTTTAACAAAATCATAACAGCCTTTGAACGTTTTCATAAATTTAAAGTTTCCTTATTGAATTGTTCAAAACCCCTTCTAGCTAAGCCATTTGCATGGGTTGCAATTGTTTTGTAGCAGGAAGCTGGCTGACACCCGTTCAGCTGCACTTTGTTAAAAAACAATATTGGTCTTTCAGAGATTGCTTAATTGTTAGGACTTTTTTAGTAAGTTTTAAGCAGAAGTGTCAAAATATGACTACTTATCAAAAATATACTGCAGACATGGATAGAAGAGACATACAGTAAATCGATTTTTTATCTAAATGCAGAAAGCTGTACAGTAATCCTAAAAAGGCACATTATTGGGTCAGCTGCGAACGGGCTAGGGACATAGAGCATGTCACCAGTGGGGACTGACTGATGACTGAGCAACCTACAGGTGAATTCCAGAGGAAAACCTGTTAGAGTTACCTAAGAATCTAAAACTGGGTCAAATTTACATTTTAGCAAGGCGGCAGATAATCTGAAGCACAAAGCCGAAACCACATTGCGCTGCTTTGACAAAAGCATAAGTCATGTTCTTGAGTGGCTAAGATAAAGTCCTGAGTTGAACCTAATAGAATATTTGATGGTAAGACTTGAATATTTGTAGCATATTATGATCCCCAGCAAGCCTGTTGGAACTGAAAGAATTGTGCCATAATGAATGGGCAAAGATTACATCATCCCACTGTGCAAAGTTGGTAAACATCCACTCAGAAAAACTGTCAGCAGTACGTGATGCCTAAGGTCTTTCTACCAAGTACTGAATTAGGGAGCCAAACATTTCTGTAACCAAGTAAATTTCTCTTTGCATATCTCCTTCACAGCTCTTACTGACATTAAACCACTGCTACATATAATTGTTCAATTGAACACAGTTCTGAATAAACTTAATAAAAAAAAAATGTTTGTTGCATGCATTCATCAAAATGTGATTATTAGCAGAGTGGGAATAGTTTTGTAAGGTTCTTTATCTTGCTATAAAGTAGTCCTGTCGTTATTTTAGACTTGGATTAGAAAGTTGCAGAATGATTCTTTTTTTTTGTGAGTTAAGTAAGACTTTTAGACTACTTGGACTGTTTTCTTTCAATCTAGTCACAATAATACTGGGTTACACCTAGAGAATCATTTCTTGTTGTATGAATTAAATGATATTTTTTTAAAAAAGTTTCACTCATGCCTCTAAAGAGTTTGTACTGACTGCTTAATCCTTCTGGCTTCCAGTAAATTTGAATTGGGGATGGTTCCCCACAGTTAGTGTCATGATAGTTGATGGAGGGTTATAACAAATCCTCCCTTACGAGTGAGCACCATGCTTTTCCTCTATTGTTTCTGCTTGGATTGTCCTTTTTCAGGCAAGCTGTCCCTGCCAGGAAAAAAAAAACCCTCCTCTGAGAGTTGTTAAAAGCATATGGCAAGAAAGAGGAATAAGAGAGGTAAGAGAGTGTTCTGAAACCTACCGTTGACCCATTGCATATTGACAACAGAAAGAACTGACGTGCAGGCTTGAGGAATCTCTTCAGTAGCAGTTTGCATCAAGGCAGTGAGGAGTGTGAACTACAATAGACTGCCATCCATCTGCTAGCTAATATTAAGAGCATGCTAACCTTAACATCACTGCATGTATACCATTGAGTTATATGTTAATCAACATGCATGAACTACTGAAAGTGATAGCATTTATGTAAAGTGCATGGAGGTGAGTGTCCCTTTTTCAGGGTAGAATTATAATTGGAAAGAAAACAAAATCTGATTCACCCCAAGGTCATTGGCCTTGCTTTTCTTTGTTCCTCATGCACAGTAGGGTGTGTGTGGGTGTGGGTGTGTGGGTGGGTCCAAAAAGCAGCTGAAAGAGCTGTCCATCATTTGAACAGTGTTGTGAGTTAAGTCATGTTTTCCTAGTTTTTTAACAAATTAAATGTTTTTACGTGTTAAACCCTTTGTTTATAAATGGTGGAAAGATTATATAATTTGTTTGCCTTAACTGCAGGGAAAATCCATACATATAGACATTTATTGAACCTACTGGACTCAATGAAAGATATGTATAATTAGCCTGGCAGAGGTACTTATTTGTGAGTGTGCCTTGCTTGAATCTTCTAAACCAGTTACTAGAGATTTTGGTAAAATGTACAATAAATGTGCTCAGAGCTAAGATTTGCTGTTAGTAAAGTTTTGATACAGCAATTTTAGAAATGCACAGTTTGAAACATTTTGTAGCTGTTACATGACCTACAGGCTAAGTGTTAATCAGAAGTATTCAAATATTCATTGATGTGGCTTGCTTTTTACCATTCAGGAACATTTACTTTCCAGGAAATGTGTGTTTCTATGCTAGTTGATAGAACACAAATAGTGCGACAGAAAAGGTCTCATGTTTGATAAGAATCAATCATTATACTTGTTTCTACAAGTTTGTAGAAAAATTGGTGGCTCAAGCACATAACCTTCCTTCCTCCAGATGCTGGAAACCGTTAATTAACAAAGGGAAACTTGTGTAATGCAGTTTGGGGGAGATGGCTGCACGTGTTGCATAATCATGCACAGTAACCCAGGATTTAATCGAAAAAGGGATCAAACACACACACCAAAAACGAACCACCTTCACACACACAAATCTTGATTGTATTGTATGTTCCTTCGCTTAGAAACCATTAAGGTTCTCTGGTTTCAAAACAGGATCCACTGACCACTGGGATTTCCCAATGACTCAGTCTGTGACAGTTGACAGAAGCATTATTGGACAGGCCCGGTCTGCGTAAGAAAGCCTGGTAGAACTGTGGGAGGCTGCAGCACGTCACGAAACTGTGGTGTCTGTGTGCCATGACAGCGCTCGCTGCTTTACAGCTGGTCCTAAAGGCATTCGAGTCCGAACCGTGCAAAACTACTGGAGTGCGCAGCTGTTCCAAAGTAACAGGGAAACCAGCACATTATAATTGTCCTGAAATAAGAGATAGAGGAGGCCAGGCACACATCCAATTAGATGAGCCCTCCTTGTAGTACCTTGTTAATACCACTTGGTCAGTCCCAGGTAGAGGTTTCAGAGTCATGTCTGACATATGTTCTGAGAGAAACCATTAGGGATCCAGCACAGACTGGATCCATCCCTAGCTCCAGACTTCTGGGGATCCAGCACAATTTAAAGAACTAGGAAATGACAAAAATGCAATACATTGGGAGAAAATGGACCTCGGCTATTGTTACATTTTTTGAGTGCCACAAACGTAGAGGATATTCTTAAAGTGATGCTGATCGAAGGTCCAGAGGAGAGATTCAGTAATCGAATGACACTTCCCTCACTTTTCTGCTTTCACTCAAGATCTTTTTAGCTCCTATGATTTTGGTCCATTGTTGTGTAACCTCCCTGCAGACCACGCACACAGCACACATCCGCTGGCTGCGCTCCTGACATGTGCTCACACTGCTGTCTGATGTAATCTTGCTGCACCTCATTGCCAGTGCGCTTGAAGCATGTGCAGAATGGGCGCACGTCTTGCTCCTTCAGTTCCCGACCTCCCTGCATTCTGTGCACTTGCTTTTTTCACATCTGGCTGAAACCGTAAGAAGCTGCTCGCGCACAAATCACGAGATCTCACGAGAATGAAAAAAAAATGCAATCCTTTGCAATGCAACTGCTCTTGTCCCATTCCCCGTATTATAATATTGTTATTAAGTAATATATGTATAGCTTCTGTATACAGTGTATCTATTTAAACAATAGCCCCGAGTCAAGTACTTTGTTTTTTCACCTCCAACATCACTGTATTTTCTTTTCTCATAAACACACGCCATTTATTGGTCATTTGTTCTGAAAACGCAAGCTGAATGGTCTCCATCTGTTTGTAACCATTCAGATGTTTTTATGACAAGGTTCCATTTTATTGTTGTACAGGACCTAACAATACGGTGAAGCCCAGAGCAGGTTTCCACCTGTACATTCCTACATCACTGAAGACTGAAGACGCCTGGCCATCTCCCTGTCAGTCCCAAACAAAAAAAAACTACAAAACCAGATTCTGAACTTCAAGATAGACAACGTTTATTTAAAAACATGAAGAGGGAAAAAAACTCTTCAAAAAAGAGTACACAAACAAAAAATTGATATTGAAAAACATTTATAGTATATTTTAAGTTTGAACACAATGTTTTATATAAAAATTCTGCCACGAGTAGCAAATATAAGGCTTTATGTACTAAAATACCGAGCTTTACAGGAAACGTAGGATAATTTTACAGCTCAGTTTTACAGTGTTCATCAGGTGTTTGCCCTCTGACCTCTGAGGAATAGTGTATAGCCAAATTATGTAGACATTTTGATGAGCTACTGAGACCCCAATGGTTACCCTTGACAAAAACAGCTCAGCAGAATCCTGTGATGAGTCATGACCCAGCATTCAATATTCAAATATGTCCTGGAAAGCTGGAAAAATTAAAGCTAATCTAGATATTTTTAGGAGTGGAATGTGAGATTGCAGGCTCTGTTGAAATACCGACTGTACTACATCATTTACAGTATGTCAGTTTCAGCCTGGCAGACTGGTACTTGTTTAACCAGTTCCCTGTTATTTTCTTTTGTTGTTTTTGCAAAACAAATCTCTAAAAGAGCTGGGATGTCTCAGTCATGGTGGAGTCCAACCTAAGTGACACAGACCACAGAAGCGTTGTTCACTGGTACAACATTTAACTGGTGCTCATTATGTGACGCAAAAATTGCATGTCGGAGTCCCCCTTTCTTTCAAAACCTGACTGTGTTTTCTTTAATTAACTTTTTGCCCTCTTAAATGACAAACAAAATACAAAAACAAATGAATTAAGGCTCACTACAGTGTGATTACTCTCTCGTGATGTGCGCAACCCGTAACAACATAATTTGTTGTTACATTTGAGTACGTCTTACAGAACAAGAATTTACTCAGGCAGTTGTGCTGGTAACCTCTTCTGCTGTGCAGTTACTTACTGTTTCCATCATGCCCTCGTGATGTGAAGTTTTGGGCTGGGGCCCAGTTTTCTGCATACAGCCTGAGCTGAGGCCTACCAAGGCGCAACTGGTGATCATGTGAAGGCACATTGTGAAGAGATGGAAGCAGATTGCAAACAGAGTTTCTAAGAACACAGATTTCCTTTTTTCCTTTAATAATTCTAAGTCTTTGGGTCTACTACTGTCAATACTCTAAAGAGCCAGCAAGGTGCAACAAAGAAAAAAAAACATATTCAAAACATGATTAAGATCACAGAAACAAACCAAACAATTATTAGGAGGAATAAAAAAGGTTCTAAATGTCTCACTAAAAGAGTTACTTCAATGTTAATTTTAAAGGTTTTTTTATAATAATTTTGCTATTAACTGTACACATAAAAAGTAAAAAGATATAGTCTTCATCACTAACTCTTTTAAACAGTTGTGATAGATAAAGCCAGCATAAGGGCTTGTAGCTTTATACTGTATTTGATTTCCAACACCTGCATAACTTTGAATTTTTTGTTTTGTTATCAAAGTTTAACAATTTTGTCAGGGAAAAAACCCACAATTTTAAAAAATGAACATGTTTATGGTAAATGTTTATAAAAATCTATAGGTCTTGGTGACTTAAGGGTAACAGTGCAAAAAAACACTTTACTGCCTGTTAGAGAACAGACTCTTCAATGTAGAGCAATTCCAGTTAAGCTCACTGTAGGAGTTCTTATCAATTTACACATTTGGTAGCAACTTCATCGACCTTTTCTGGGTTTCACAAAGTAACCGTGCAGGTTTAGTAATTCAAAGGGCGGTGTGTGGGGCAGATTTTTATTTTATTACTGGAGAGCACGGCTAAACAGATTAATCTCCCTCATGGATCGGGCAGTCACATCACCCGTGAAAAAGGTTCAAGTTCGTTATTCAAATATTAATTGAGGCTGTGTGATCATATAAAATTATTGCATATGCCCTGATAAGAAAATGTACTGTATAGCTTTCACCAGGCAATTTGAAGGACTGCTTGCTGGGATGAACCCCTATGTTACCAAATATAAGTACTTAGTTAAATTAATTGTTTCACAAAAGCAATGTACAATATTAATTATGGCTTAAATATTTTTCATGTTTGGCAGAACAGCCCCTCCACCTTCTCTCCTCTGACTCGGCACCACATTGAACAACACCCCCTGTCTCTAGGGTCAGCTAAAGCAGCAGGAATACTGTACGTTGAATACAAAACATTCACAGGTAAAACATAATACTTTCCAATGTTCTTCAAATGCTCTTCAACTATGCAAAGCATACTGTAGTTCTGTTGCATAACTAACTTTTAAACAGTTTTCCAGCTGTCTCATTTGCGTCTATACGTTTTACACAGTGTAGGCTTTTATTCACTGATGTGGAAGACAAGGCTGTATGCATAAACCTACCGTATGTGTCAGCAGACCATTGTTGTTTTTCCAAAAATGAAGTTAAAATGAGTTAAAAGGATCAATGACCTAAGATAAACCCCACCTTGCCCAGACAGCTGACTACAGTATATGCAAAGGTCAGCAAATCGTCAGCACGCACTGGAGTGGCTAATATTTTGTTTTTTATTTTTAAATATTTTCCCAAACAGAATTACATTTGTAACCAAGATCTGGAAATCTTTGAATTTTTTTTAAGAAGCCATTAACCAGTGGAAACTGGAATGATCTTGGAAAATAATGTGTTGAGACACATCTTGCAGCCTTATACAGTATATACGGACAATATTATATAAAACATGCTGTATGGTGAAAACTAATTAACCATGTAATCAAGACACGGAGAACCGTGAGAGTCCATGTGCTACAGCTGACCAGATCGTAGTCATTTTTTGATGAATTGGCATTTTTAAGATTTTTTTGCAATCAATATAAATTTGGTAGTGAGGATACAACTGATGGGAGGTACAGTGATGCAGAAATTGGTTTCCTCTGGTGTTCTGGTGTCCTCCCACAGTCCAAAGACTGACTGGTAGGTTATTTGGCCATGGTGCGAGTGCGTGATGTTTGAGTATGTGTGTACCCTGCAATTGACTACCATCCCATCCAGAGTGTATCCTGCCTTGTGCCCAATGCTTGCTGGGAGACACTCTGGCTCCCATGCCATTCTGAATTGGATAAGGTGGTTAGAAAGTTGACGGACGGAGACAACTGACAAGAGTCAAATAGAACCAACATGATCAGAGTGCAAATCAAACTTTAAACATGTAAAGTGAGAGGTCATTCCTACCTCTGAATGAGAAAAGGTGCTTCTCCCATCTCTCAGGAATAATTCAGAAAACAACAATTTGGCTACCAATTATTAATCATCATCTTAAATGAGGGGCTGATTAGAAAAAAAAACGAGCGAATTTCTAGACCTGAAAATGAATGAATTATTTCTTCTGGTGAGGACATACTATATATCTGGAGGATAAAGAAGTTTATGGGTCTGCTTTGCAAATGTTGCCAATACTTGACATTTTCTGCAGCCGGTTTATTTTAAAGGAACGAACTGTTTATAAGAACACTCTAACCTTCAAAATGAAGGTTAAATAAAGAATTGTAGGAAAGAGTTTTTGGTATAAGATCTGCACCACTGTCTGCAATAACATTGGCACCTGTTAGCATTTTGAAAACCCTTCTTCTCACAAGTGAACGTGCAACAATAAAGACCCTTCCCTCATGAGAAATTAAAACACCTGCTTGCATTCAAACATTGGGGGGTGGGATTTATCGGGAGAGAAGTCAGATGTCTTCCCCCCCTGTTGAAAAGAAGGCTGCCCATAGTCTCTCAGCGACCATGTGTACCTGCTGCAAGGGCGAGAGATCAGTGGAGGAAGGTTCAAAGGGTCGGTGTAGGACTACACCTTCTGCCACTGCTGTTCACTGCCAGAGCCAAGCTGGAGGCCGACAAAAAACACCTGGTACCTGTGCTTCCACATCACGAAACAGCCAACCAGGCACACCGCAGCCTGGGTGAGGTTCAGAGCCATCTGCAGCAGGAGGTAGAGCTTGTGAGTGTTGGTGATGGAGAAGCAGGTGCTCACGTCACTGTAGATGAAGGTCCTGGCGATGGGGTCTTCAGGGTCCAGTTTGCAGATGCAGGCACCCTCCTCCTCTGAGCAGGCGAAGGCGTTAATCAGCGAGTAGTGGTACCCAGCAAAGGCCACAGCCAGCACCGAAAGCACCAGGCCGACGGCACAGAGCAAGAAGTAAACCAGCTGCAGGGGAGCCAAACGCCAACGAGAAATGTTACTCTCGAACGCTTTCTCTCAATGTCATTTTACTGAAACGTTTTTTCCCAGTGAGCATGATGAAGATAGATGTAACCCCTGACTTAAATGTTGAAAGAATTGTATTTGACTCTAATTGAATTTTGCTGCTGTCTGAATGCTGCTTTATTTTTATTATAGCTCCTGCCAGGTTCCTGCCTCCAATACTTAGTGTTCATTTTGTTACGTCATTTTCGCTGTCGTCGTTAACGTCATCTTTTATGTCATCTGTTGTGTCATTTGTCAGGTGAGGAAACGCACAAGTAAGCGTTTTAATTGTACTCAGGAAGGTAGATATGATGATAAGTTTGAAATGTGTGGGTCACCCTGCATTTCCTAAAACATTGCTCCGTCCAAAATGTCATTAGTTATGCTTCTTCCATATCACACTGTAATTGCCTTTTGCTTTAAGTGCAATTTCGAATGTTTCTGAATATTCCAACATTCTTTTTTGTGGTGATTATTTCTTTACAGCTCTATGCAAACAGCATTTGTTCATATATGCAGTAGATTACACAGGTGCTCAAGCCAAATGTCACAGGCGTATTTAAAATACTCAGTTTATCTACTCATTTGAAAACATTTAAAACAAAGCATATAGGATCCTGCACCAGAGGGAAACTACTTCATACAAAATGTTGAAAACATTCACATTTATTTTAGGACTGGATAACTGGAAACTCAGTGTGGCTTTTTAGCTATAAATCTGCAGAGCTTGTGATTTAATGCTCCGTCTCACCTTGGCTATGAATTGCATAAATGTCTTCTCATCTGGTAGGTAAGTTATGCAATACAAGTAAAACCCCAGTAAGGACACCAAGCAAACCTGCAAAAGAAGACAATCTTTTTAAACAGAACAAATCACTACTGCTGACATATTCCAAATGTAAAAAGTAGTACTTCAATTTAAATAATATGCATGCCCATACTATTAAATGTGGAGTCACAAAACACAAATATTTCAAGGCTGAAATACAAATCTAAAGCACTGCAGAAAGGTATCAGAAGGCAGTAGGATGCCACTTTCTAACGTCTCTTATCAACACAATGGATAACACAGCTATGCTTGCAACATAATTTAAAAAATGATCAGCAAAACATTAGCTGAAATGTAAACCATAAAAAGCAATAGTCCAGCAACAGGTATTGCTTTCACTGATTAGTCTAATCTTTTAGCACTTATTTTCACATGCATGCAGTATACAGATTTTACATGAACAGGGTTAAGTCACACCACCTCTGACAATCATGATTCGTGATCTGGATTCTGGATTTACAATGTTAATAGTGAAAGGGACCAGTGGGTCCCTTTAGTGTACCCTAAAACATTTGAATCCCACAGCCTTGCTCATGCCTCATTTTAAATACCCAGGTGAACATCTGAGCACTGCTGCCCCCTTCACCCATAATTCTCTGTACTGCAATTGCTCCAGCCATTTAAAGGCTTGCCCTGGTATTGTGATGTCATAATTCACAACATCTCAACCCAAGATGACACTCTCGTCTGAATGGGACTTTGTGCATCACCAGGCTGCTCGAATGCCAGAGGGAGGCTGCCTTGTTTTGCTAGCTTTCTAGTTACTGGAAGCTGCACAAAGATTTGGAATCGCTCTTCAAACTATAGCATTGCAGAAAATAGTGAGTAAAAGTGTGAACATGTGACAAAATGGGTTACATGTCAAAAAGGAAATAACTGAAAAGCGTAGTGTCATTGAATATGGAAACTTACCATGTCTTGGACTCTTAAGCTCATGCATTCTTCTCACTCCTACCTCAGCCCACACTTGAGCACACAGCATGGATGCAGCATTAAAGTTTTAGTCAAATATGTGCAGACACTGCAAATTGTGTTGATCTACCATCCCCCTTAATCAAACGGCATATAAATATAGTTCTGACTTTCCTCTCTCATCCAGGAGCCTTTACTTATAAATAGCATCAATTAAAAGATGAAACTTGCCACAAATGTTTTGTACGGAAAGACAAGCCATTCCGCAGTTTTTGATTTGCACTGCATGGGGATGCTTGACTTTAATTACATGCATGTATTCATTATTACTTTAACGATTCTTTTTTTCCCCAAGCATTGCCCCAAGAGGAGGAGAAATGAAGAGAGCCTAGCTTATTCAAAGATAGGGTTCTCGCTGTAACGGAAATTTGAAAATAATTGCACTTTGAGAACTGGAATGTGTGAAAGTTAAACCTTGCGTTGATCCACATTTCTGCACAGTCATTGCTAAATCATATTTAATGAGTTATTTATTATGAGGTTTTTGCTGCAGTTTCTGTCTGCTTACTTCCCAGAATGTTCTTAAAAAAGACAATCAAATTCCTTCGACAAATCTTAATAGTGCAACAATGCTTTGCTAACAACAAGTTGCTTTTTTCCCCCACATTAATCAGCTCACAACTTTACACATCAACACCAAAGAGCCAAAAAGGTACTCTATACTCTCTTTACTCTTTATTCTATACTCTATACGATAGAGTTGCTCTGTAGTGAAGCACTACCATTTTCTTCTGGTAAGCTGAATGCTTCTGTATGTGTCAGAATTCATTCTGCTGCTGCCATCATTACATCATCAATTAGGACAAGAGAGGCAGTTCCACAGGTGTTCGTGTTTCACAGATGAGGTGATCTTTGGAGCACCTGCAGCTCCTTTCTTTCACCTCTCCATCACTCTGACAAAGGTTTACTTTAGTTTCATCTGTCTGTAACACTTTGCTCCAAAACAATCTTACCCTCAATACTTCTGAGAAAATTAAGAATGTTGGAAATAAAGTCATTACTTGAGTATTCCTGGCTATCTCTGGAACTGGCTCACTGTATAATAGCAGAAAACAATCTAAGATTACAAAAGACATTGTTTCTACAGGCCTATAAAATTCACCCTATCAGTCTTTGTAAAGTCATGATAGAGTTTATTGATTTCACTAAATTTCTTCTCTGCTATACTTACAAAAAGTGAAGTATTTTAACAAATATCACTCTTTTCTTCAAGCATTCTTATATACTATCTGATACATTGCATGAATATTAAAAGGAGCTGCTGAAACATTTGAACCCATACTCAGCTTCCATTAGTACCACTGACGATTGTGATCTACACTTTAGATCAACTTGCTGGCAAACCTCTATAAAGTAAAGTCTTTCTGCTTTTTAAACTGGGGAAAGACAAGCATAGCAAAAACAAACAAATGCCAGTCAGCCTGGATTCCATTGCAGATTAAAAAAATGTCTGTGGCCACAGCAATTGGATAACTTTAATCCAGGCTCAAACCACAAAGATCTATACCTTTTTTAGGAAAGGTTTTCTTTCTCGACTCTGTGGGTCATTGTTTTTGTGCCACACTTTGTGATCTTTAGTGTTTTTCATGTGGTGAATCAAATAAAGCAATAGGCTAGGTCTTCTTTTGTTTTAAACTGCAGCCAAAGGAGGTCATAATGGTTTATAGAAAAAAATAACATTAAGTGACTAATATTAACTACATTTTACTTGACATTATATTGTGGCACTCTACATAATGGATAAATGCTATGCAATATAATTAAAGCTGGTAAAATAAATAGCTTAAAATAATTATAAATGATTGTTCGCTCTTCTGCACATATTGAAAATAAATATTTGCTGCTTGAAGCAAATACATTTACTTAAACATTTCTAAAGTGTTAAGATTGTTGTAAATTTGCAGTCAAGATTAAATACAAGTGCTGCACAATTGTTTATATTATATAAGTGTTAATTGTTTTTAAATATTAATTTCCCCATATTATCTGAAAATGTTTTATTTTCAAATTGTTGGTTTGGATATGTACAGTAACAGGTAAACCTGGCCAGATCTCATGCAGCTGACAAGCCTTATGTGTCATTTATTTGTGAAATTCTCCTCAGAAAACCACCGGACATTTGGTAAGAACTACAAGAATAGGCTGTGCACTGCATGATCAAATGATACATTTACCTGACAATAGACTTCTGAGGCAACAAACAGGAAGGGAATACAAACAAAGCAAATCCACTGAGGTGGTGTTAAACTGATGTACAATTTGTGATCTCAATTGTCGTCTGTCAAACCCATGTTAACCTATGTTTTTGGATTCAGTATGAAGCATCAGATAGTAGTCTAGGATTGAGAAACCCGAGAAATGAAACTTTTAATTCCATGAATGCCATCATCATTGCAATATGGCTGCCTATATAGGTTTGCAACACTGTCTCCAGGTCTGAGATCCACAGGCCTCAAATCCTGTGCTAAAAGAGTACGACGTTGGCGCCTCTTAAAACAAGACAGCTCTAAAACCGACTCACTGGCTAATATGCAGAGATTGATTGCAGCAATCCCATGAACATGACTTTTCCAGGATATCAACAAATCCAACCTGATTTACATTATTCTTCAGATGTGATTAATGAACCTACTGACCTCAATGACACCATCTTGTTGTACAGAGTATAAAGGGCCAGTTGTTAGTACTGAAACTGCTTTGTTGTAGTTTAAATTGCAATTAAACCATTTGTGCAAATTGATCACTGTTTGTCCTCTGGCCACATCTGGCATCCCACATGGCTCTGTCCCTGGTCCTAATCCTTTTCATCAGCTTTAATTTCTACTAAACTCCATAACAGTGCCAATTTAATTTTGACTCCTGATATTGTTGGAATCAGTCCTACTATTCTACTCAGAAATCCTGGTCTTAAAAATGTGATCTGAGCCTTAAAAATGTGAACTCGTGTTCCCTCATGTCCTGTGAAGGAGTCTTTCTCTTCCACTTTTGTAACATTGCTTGTATCTGTCTCTCCCAATTTCCTGCAGAAAAGCTCAAGTGCACTTTTTTTGTCATTTGCAGACTTGATTATTGCAATTCATTACTTTCTGGAGTATCAAAACAGATTTTGAACACATTCCAGCAAGTTCAGAACTCAGCTGCTCAAAATTAAATTATGCGACGAAGTATCTCTAGTGTTTTAGGTTCCTTGCACTTGCTCCCTTTGGATTTAAAAAATCTAAATACTGCTGCACTTGTTTTAAGGCTTGAATGGTTTGGCTCTTGACTACATTTGTGAACGGTTAATTCCCTGCACACCTGAACATCACTCGCACTCTCCGGACTCGGGCCTTTTTTCAATTCTGAAAATGAGGCCCTCAACGCCGGGAGACATTGGGAGATTATGCTTTTTGCTCTGTTGCTTCAAGACAGTGGATTAATCTCCCAGCCCTATCGGATCTTGCATGTCAGTCAGCATTTTCAAATCCCTTCTTAAAACTTTATACACTAGCTTTTAATTTGGTGTAATTTATTGTGTTAAATTATGCATTCGTGTGCTTCTTATGCTTTTGCTTTCTGGTTTTATTGCAAAGCACTTAGGGGTCGTGAACAGCATATAAAATGATGATGATCTGATAAAGACTATAGGGAAAAATAAGACTCATTATCATTGCTCAAGGTCATCCGTTCCTCTTCTAGCAAAACACTAAGGTTTAAGCCACATATACTCAAAATAAATCAGCTGCTGCCCTGGCACTGGATTTCATTTTTGAAGAACAAAAACATGAACCTATTTTATTGCATAGGGGTTAAAATGAACGTTCATATTTTGCGATTGCATTTGGCCCTTCTCACAAGAGAAGATCTCGCATGAGCGCGCCATTGGGACAAAAAACCCGAAAGAGTAATTCAGTGTCGAGACTCCTTTCTACGTTTTTAAACACTTCACTGCAGACATGAACGGGGTTTTCATCCAGCAGCTACTGGGTCCATTTTAAATTTTAAATAAACATAAGAATGGCTAGGCACATGAGTAAGCCATTCACCCCACCTAGCATGTATGCCAATTAGTAGCTACGCGATCTTGACCCCAAATGATCAATTGGTGCAATTGCTCAAACAAATGCAAAACTGGCAGCGAAGATGGAAAACAAACAGGAATCCAAGATCCTGTAACCTTCCAGAACTGGATCTGGACACTCCACTGTGTAGTATTTTAGGATGGGAGTGACTGCACAGGGAGGACCAATTTAGCTATGAGTCATCTAAGCCTATGTGACATCTGAAGCAGAAGTATGTCATTATGCTTTAATGCAATACTATGGAAAATAATGTTAAACAGACTAAGAGTGCTGGTTCTTGTAATGGAGCATCTGTTTTTTTTTCCCATCAGGGCAATGAAAACGATCCTGTAAAATCCATTGATACACTTGCCGAAACATTTTTGTGACCCAAAAAGTTTGTGCGAGTCTTCCTTTCTGACTTAACTTTTCCCACATTACTTAACCTCTAGAATTAAACAATGCCAGCTAATTCAATCTCTACTATGAAAAATAAACTTATTTTCACCACATTTCCTCACAAATGGACAATTACTCCTACTTTCATACTTAAATATAATAACTGCCTTTAATCAATCTAAGGCCTAATGTACTGTTAAACAATGTTAAACAAAGTTAAACAATGCCTTACACAGTAAAATAACATTTCCTCTAGGTATCATAATAACATACAAGTACCAGTGACAAATATACTGGGTGACATTATTATTATTGCTAAAATATTATTTCATATAGAATTAAACTATAGAAAAACATACAGTATCGGGAATAGTAAAGTTGTTGAGTATCTGAAAACTACTGTATAATAGAATATCACAGGCCTCAAAGTCTTCATATATCAAGATTGCACTACCAATAATACAAACGATCGGATTATGCTTCAAACTCAAGTAGTGCTGCCTGGAGTTAAAATCCAAACCACTTATTCCAATAAAACATATATCTTTATCCAATCAGCTTACCCCTCAAGTCAACAATAAAACGTTCAGAATATGAAACTGTAAGTCTTAAAAAAATATAAAACCTCTCCAGTCCTTCAACAAGCCTAAAGCTGCTGGAAAGTTTTTATTTTGGTTTCTGAGGTATTTCAAATTCAGGGAGAAGCAAGGACGGCAAAGAAGGGGGAACTTGTTGATTTCACAAAACTTTCTCTTGGGTATATAAAAAACCCGTCTGATGCGTCCTCTTGCAAGGAATGTTTCGACAAGCAAGCACTATCATGCATGTAACTTTATTAGTCTTACAAAATCATGCAACTTTACCCCCCATTTCAGCATGGGACGCCTTGAAATGAAACTAGGAGGGAAAAAAAAAAGAGAGAAGAATCGGATTTGTGCTTACAATTATCCCAGCCCAATGTGGAGTCTCTCTGGTCAGCAAAGAGGAGCTGATGCCTGTCATTATGAAGGCCACCACTGCTATGGAGATCCCTAAAATCAACTGCAGAAAAGCAATCAGTAAAGGAAAACGACAGCCACAACAAGTATGGGAATCCTCCTTCTGGCCTGCCTTGAGCTTTCCCTTTCCTCTCTCCATGTTTCCCTTGCTTTCTTGAGCGTGATCTGCTCTCTTCTCTGCTCCAGGCTGGCCTGTCTGGCTCATAGTGTTAGGGGCTGGGCTCAGCTTGCTTTTTTCATCTGTTCCCATTCTGATGTTTTCTGGATTGTTTTTTTTTTTTTGCTTTTCGGCCGCCCTGAAGGTTTCTCCTGTTCTAGTGAGGCTTTGCTTTGCTGCTATTTGGAATCACAGAGGCTCTGAACAAATATGGAAAGCATCTGCAGTGGATTTCCAAGCTGTCTAAATGCCACATATAGAACAGTGAATGGGGGGGCTACAAGGGGGACTTCAGCACACAACAAAAAAGGCAATCATGAGCCGTTTCAACCAGGAATTGCACAAAAAATCAATCAAACCTCAAACAAGACAGATTAGTTTTACTGGATTACTGAGCACAGCTGGCCTAACAATCAAAGCTAAGTCACATGAGTTTTGTCAAAGCACAAATGAGACCCCTTGTCATGTGAATGTTTTTGGTTCAATCCCTTGTGCTCAAAGCATGGATAAATTACTGTGGAATATTTTAATGACACCAAGTCAAGAGTTTTCTTTTGGGTCTGGTCAAATGCTTTACTAATGAGGAATGTACTGTATGTCC